GGGCCATCGTTCAGTATTGAGGGGGCGGCGGCGTTCGGCGGCGTCCGAGGTATATGGAGGGCGGCTCAGGGTTGGGCGGCGGTAAAGGTTGGATTGTTGGACGGCGAAGGTGGTGAGGGTTGGATTGTTGGAGACATGGTACTGTTCAAAACTTTTTTATTTTATTTTAAAAAAAAATTAATAAAGGTAATGTTAATTTTTCCCTCTAATTTATAAATCTAAATTGGTAAATTTCAAAATATACATCAGCACAATCTTATCATTTTTTAAAAATCTATCTTCAAATTCTAATTAGCAATTTTAAATTAGATTTAAATCATTTTTTTTTATTTGTAAATCTTTTAATATAGAGGGGTAAATTTCAAAATATACCTCAAAGTCTTATAACTTTGTCTTAAATCTATTTTCAAATTCTAATTAGCAATTTTAAATTAGATTTATGATCATTTTTTTAATTTCATTTACTTTTTATTAAATACAGTTGAATCCCTATTATTAAGATCAAAATTATTTTTGCTATTCGTAAAAATCTTAAATCCTTAAAATTATGCATATATATCTAATTGGTTACAAGGTATATTTGTCTTTTAACTTTTTTTTTTTCAGTATTTAAGAAAAAAGTTCATTTAGCCATTATTGCAATATCTCATAGCTTTGAGCATTTTTTAAAACGTGTTATTAAATTTGATCATTCCTGCAATTGCACCTTTATTTTACTCAAAAAAGAAAAAAAAACAATATCTTTCACTTCTAGAAAAGCAACTAAATATCTCAGTGACATTGATTAATTTACAGAGATGAATAGTAATACAATGAACATGGTTTACTAATTTGTTAAAAAAAAAACATGGTTTACTAATACCCTAGAAATCATATATATGCAAAACAAAAAGAAAGACTATAATAAGAATTGATCATAAATTTGAAGTGGAAGATCAACTATGTTATTCTTTATATTATTTGTCATTACATATATTAAAAACTCTCCCTAAAGAAAATACCCTTTATTGAATCCTCTATCTTTAATTCTTTATTATGGTTTGGTGGGTCAATTTTGTACCACTAGCTAAGAGCTTATTTAAATTAAAAGATGAAGCAAATAATCCAATTAACAACCATTAAAGTGCCATAACTTTTGTTGGTTTTTATATCCAAGTCTTTCATTAATATTTTTGATAGATTTTAATTTTGTGGGGCAAAGATTTGCTTGTTAAACTTTGGAAATATCCAACCAAGATCCCTAAGATAATTCAATTTAATGCTTCTTTTATATTTATATATAGTCTCTCTCTTCTTTTTTTTTCGGAAGATGAAGGGGCAATTGCCCAGAAAGAAAACTACACAATAGTTAAACGGGGCATGGTGGCCCCAGATAAATCTGTCATCAGCAATGGATATAACCCTCTAGGAGGATTTTCACAAATATGGACCCCAAGAGGGCGTCGACAGACTCTGATAGCTAACCAGTCCGCACAGTAATTGGTCTCTCTATAGATATGCTTAATCGAAATATTCCAATCCTGATCCATCAGTTGTGTGATCTTCCTCAACAATGGTTGGATGATGGTATTAGGCCGAGAGTGGTTCAGAATCATATTGCAAGCTACAATAGAATCTGTTTCTATTTCCAAAGAGCGGCAACCTAGTTCCCAAGCCAACTCTAAACCCGTTAAGATTCCCCACAACTCTGCTACCAGAGCCGTTGTGCTTCCAATATTTTTCTGAAAGCCTTTAATCCAATTCCCCTCTGAATTCCTTATGATCCCTCCTGCCCCTGCCATACCCGGATTACCTTGTGAAGATCCATCTGTATTCAATTTCCAACAATTAATTGGAGGGGGAGTCCATGTGATATTGACCCAGCTTCGGACTGGTTTTCTGACAAAGAGGCCACTCCGATGTACATGGTTCCAACTTATCATACTCCGATGTTTAAGTTAGTGTGTGAACTTAAGAAGAGAGTAGCAAAGAGTGGTATGAGAGGAAATAGTGTATCTTTGAAAGTTCATGACCCCTCGTATTTATAGAACTTTGGAGGTGATTGGGTTGACTTTGGCCGAGGTATGGCCGACCTAAGGTGTTGGCCGAGGTGTAGCCGACATATGTGTGGCCGTGGTGTGAGGCTGAGGTACGATCGACCTATAGCAGACCTAAGTTGTTGGTCGAGGTGCGTGGTCGACCTATGGCCGACCTAAGTTGGCCGAGGTATGGTTGACCCAAACTGGCGAGGCCATGACTGATCTATGCAAGGCCGAGGTGAGGCCGACCTATGGCCAACCTAAGTTGTTGACCAATGTGTGGCCGATTTATGACCTAGCTACCTAAGTGGTTGTCCGAGGTGCCCTCTCGTGGCCGAGCTCGAGGTGATGGCTGACCCATGTCCAAGCTCATGCTGAGCTATATGGTGTGTGAAACTATTGGTGGAGCTTTGCCCACCTATAACTGCTCTAATTACGCCCTATCTCCACCCTATGCCGTACTAAAATAGCTCTACCAACCTATATAGGCATGGCTTTAGTGTATTTTTAGCGCGACTTTAGTGTATGTTTTTTTATGTGTTCTTTGAGCGGTTTTAGTGCATCCTGCCGTGCATCATTTAGTGCATCCTTTAAAAAGAGCTCTAGTAGATGACTTTGTGAGGAGAGAGATCTTATAGCTTAAGCTCGGATAAATTAATCCAACACTGTGAATTGAAAAATTATCAAAGGTATTTCTATTGATCTTTTCAAATTTAGTAAAAGAAAAAGAATAGAAAAAAATATATTATTAATGTTCTTTCGGGTAAAAAATTAATGTTATCAAATGGCTCTACCAAATTTGACCTACATTAATATACCATATAGTTTTTAAAGCTGTGTAGAAGCTTAAACTTTCTGGGTCAAAAAACTCCCAAAATGATTTTGTGTGTTCATATATATGAGGGAATGCTTATGAAGTTTTGACCTTATTTATGAAAGAAAACAAGAAACTGATATGAAATTCAAAGATTGTAAATTTGGAGAGTTTGAGAGGGCAAATCAGTCAGGAAAAGCTGCTTGAATAAGAAGAATAAAAAGTTTTTTATGTTTATTTATTCCAAGAAACTTACTCCTCCCATCTAAACCCATTAGGTTAATTAATGCCATTCACAATTGTCTGGGGATGAAAGTATCGTGGACACGTGAAGTTGGTGTTTAGAAATAAAAGAACATTCCAGGTCCACTTAGAACCTGTCGAGGAGACCCAATTTGTCCATATACAAGGTTAAGTGTAAAGGCAAGGGTTCGACCTGAACGAGTTCGATCGGCTCAAACCCGACAGGTTCGACATGACAAAAGATAAGGATAACCGCCAGTCGTGAGTGCTGTCGGGCCCACTACCTAAAAATAGAGAGCCTCATTTCACACTCAGGTATCGAATCTCAGTTCGAACTTATTATTGAGTCCGATCTATACTGACTTGAGCGTCGGAGAGTTCGCCCTCTTGTGCAGGTTCACTCTAAGGTTCAGGTCGGGACGGAGATTGGGTTCGAGCTAGATTCGTAAATTGTGTTGTGCAACTCCTTGYATAAACAACAATCATCTGCACATTCCATTGACTTGAAATTATCGAGTGATTATGGATTTGAATCTTTTCAAAAGCTTGCATTTTGGCTCCTGAAAGTTCAATAGGAAAAAGGCCGGGTGCATGTTCTAAACAAAATTAAACGATTGTGACTCGAATAGATGGTAGTGAATGAAAATTTGTCTTTTGATCCTAAGAAAATGTGCAGGTGCCTTGGCTATTTAACTATGTTCAAATAAGTATTTCAATCGAGTCTATAAGTTTTATTTTTTTTTTTTGAAGTACGACAATGAGATGGGAAATTCAAATTCATGATTTTTTGGTCAGAGTAAGGTGCCAATTACCGCTCTATTAAATTTGTGTCGGCATCGAGCCTATAGAGTTTGAAAAACAAGAAGAAATAAATCTGTCTCATTTACTATATCGAAGTTAACTCTCAAGTTAATAAATTTGGAAGATTCACATAGGATGACTCTTGTAATGGGTTAAACACTAAAAGCAATTTTTATCTCCAATCTTAATCTCTAAATTTGAACAAAATGGGATTTCTCCACGTGTCCAGACTCCTTTTTTCATCCCTAGTATTATCTTTCCTTTTATTGGAAAAAGTTAGTGGAAAATGGTCTGCTATTTCTTTAAATAAAAAAAAAACCAATTGGTATGGTTTCATAAATAATCCATTAGAGAATTGGGTTTTACTCTAATGGGCCGATTATAAATTTTTGGCTTGGGCTAGTAATTCGGCACCTAGATCAAAGAAAATTTGTGGAACTCAAGATCAAATTGTAAAAAGAAGGGATAAGTACGTTGATCTATCGATAGATACTAATTACACAAACAGATTCATTTTTTAAAATTTACATTTTTGTCTAAAAATATACTAAGATGGAACCATTAGTATCTTACCAATATATCTTTTTTTATATATATGTAATTAATTATTAAAATATGAAAATTTAAAATAGAAAAATGGTTGATTTGGACAGTTTATGTTTTAAATCCCTAAAATACGGCACCTCTTCACCCTCTTAAAACAAACTTCCCAATTTTTAGTTTTTTCTTTCTTCTTCCTTCGTATTCTTCATTTTCACTTTTCACCATTATTTCCGACTGTCCACAGTCACCCACCGCCTCCTTCAACGCCCGTTTAGTCATTAGGAGGTTGGATTTTAATATTCCACTATTTTGCTCCTGGTTTCATATTTTGTTTCAATTAATGTTTATTTCGATGTTTGGTTAAATTGTAGCACACATGCATATCAATTTTAGTCATTTGGGGATGATTTAGGGGTGTTTTATGAGTGATTTTGGGGTATTCATAACATCGGAATTAAAAGGAATTTTCACTGTTGTTTTAAAAACTATTTTTTACAAATGGATTGATTTTTTTTTTTTGAGAAATAAAATAAGAAAATTAAAACAAGGGAACAGATTCCATTGCAATAGAAAGCCAATTTGGGAACGTGACCATCCACCTCCTTTCTCCTTCGATTTCCATCGCCTTTTTTGCTAAGACGTGGGCCGCATTGTTCTTCTCCCTACAGATGTGGTTAATTGCTATGACATTCTTCTCTTCCACCAACTTGGATACTTCTTCCACCAGCCAACAAATCTCAGTTAGGTTAGTATCTTTCTTGATGAGACGAAGTGCTTCCAAAGAATCAGATTCCAAGTAAAGAGGCCAGCAAGTGTTCATGTCAATTGAATGAAGACCTTAAATCGCCATTAATTCAAGAAATTTTATTGATCTGTTAGCTCTTGTTTCACAACATCTTGCAAGAATCGCTTCACCTCTCCAATTTCGCACGATCCAACCCAAGCCTTCAACACTATGATGTTCATTCCAGGCAGCATCAGTGTTGATTTTCCAGAAATTCGTAGGCGGAGGACTCCAGCCAGTGATTATTCTGTTTCTTTCCTCATTTGATTCAATGCGGATCTGGTAATTGCCTCTAACTCTCGGAATATCTGTTGTTGAGAAGTTTTGTTCATCTGGCTTGACGTCTGCTTGGAATTTCTCTATTGAATTGCATAGATCATGGTCAATTGGAGCTCACCCTATGAAAATTGCTCTGTTCTTGTGCTCCCATATCTGCCATGCTATTATAATTCCAGTAGCGGTCTCTTCTTCAGTTGTGTTGTCAATGATCCAACTCCAGTAGTCTTTAGCTTTCCATTGTGTTCTGTCCAAAACAAAAGAGGACGGATAAATAAGAATATACTTAGCCCAAAGGTGCTTTGTTACCTTGCATCCCCATAGTAGATGTTCTATTGTCTCGTCCTGTTTCTTGCACAAGCCATACAAAAGGTTAGTAGAAATTCCTCTTTTACACAAATTTGTTTTGGTGGGAATGATATCGTGATAAAGCTTCCAACAACAGATTTTGATTTTGGGAAGAACTTTTATTTTCCAAAAAGTTTTCCACCATCTGCTATTGTACTCCTTGTTAGAAGAGGACACTAGGCTCGAGTTCTTCATGTCCATGCCGAGGCGATAGGCGCTTTTGACACTGAAGACACCCTTTTTATCAAGATTCCATATCACCTTATCTTCTCTACACTCTTTTGGTAATGGAATGTTTAAAATAGTTTCAGCATCGTGCTCGTTGAAATAAGTTCTGATTATATCTTCATTCCAAGTTCCCCTCTCTCTTATCAAGAAAGCCACATTGTGATAGCGTATTGGATTTTGGACTTGGAAAAGACACCTATTTCCATTTCCCGGCAGCCATGGATCTGTCCCAATTGTCACTGAGGAGCCATTTCCAATTCTCCACCTATGACGTTTAACAAAAAGCTCCTTGCCCCACATGTGCTTCTCCAAATCAATGAAGGGTTTTTTCCCAACTCAGCTTTCATAAAAATGCCATGATTGTAATATTTACCCCTCAAAACTTTAGCCAAGAGATTGTCAGGATGTTGGGTTAGACGCCAGCTCTGTTTAGCAAGCATAGCTTGGTTGAAAACACCAATATCTTTGAAGCCCATACCCCCTTGGTCTTTGCTTATACATAGCTTCTTCCAACTTTTCCAATGAATTTTCCTTTCCTTTTCATTAGAGCCCCACCATAACCTAGCATAAAGCGAATTAATTTCAGTACATAAGCTCGTGGAAAGTTTGAAGCAGCTCATAGTGTAAGTTGCGATGGCTTGAGCTACAGCTGTTATAAAGATCTCCTTGCCCCCGATGGAGAAGATCTTCTCCTTCCAACCCTGCAATACTCGCCATACTTTATCTTTAATAGAACTGAAAACTTGACATCTGTTTCTCGAAGTTTGAGAAGGAAGACCCAAGTATTGGCCAAGAGTATTGGTGTGGTTAACTTGGAGCTCTGGTTTAATGCAATCCATAGCTTCTGGTTTTTTATTCTTGCTCACCATGAACATTGATTTCTCAAAATTCACCATCTGCCTCAAAGCTCTTTCGTAAGTGCTCAACACGTTCTTTATAGTGACACAGACTTTTGGAATAGCTTTAAAGAATAACAAGCTGTCATCTGCAAAAAACAAGTGAGTCATAGGAGGACAATTTTTATTAATATGCAAACCTGAGAAGTTATTATTTCTTTCCTCCGTGTTGAGAAGAGTTGAAAGACATAAGAGGACTAAGCAAGGTGAGAGTGGGTCGCCTTGACGAAGACCTCTATCAGGCTTGAAGGACTTGCTTGGAACCCTGTTTAAAAGGATTGAGAAGCTAACAGACTCCACACAATTCATAATAAGCTCAATCCATTTGTCATAGAAGCCCATTTTAGCCATAACTTTCCAGAGAAAGATCCACTCAATACGATTGTAGGCTTTGCTCATGTCCAATTTGAGGGCCACCATTCCTTCTGAACCAGATCGTTTATTGTTGGTATGGATGCATTCAAACCTGACAATAGCATTGTCTATTATCAATCTTCCTGGAACAAAAGCAGAATGCGTTGGGGAGATTACATAGTCCAGGACATGTTTTAGTCGGTTAGCAAGAACTTTAGAAATGATTTTGTAGATAACATTGCAAAGACTAATGGGTCGGAAGTCCTTCAGATTATTTGCATGTTTCTTTTTGGGGATGAGAATAATAAGTGTTGTATTGAGAGAACCAACATCAACCCTATCATTAAGCACTTTAAGACAAATTTCAGTAGTCTCTTTGCCCACTATCTCTCAATAATTTTGGTAAAACAAAGCTTGCATTCCATCCGGACCGGGTGCTTTTGTTGGATGCATTCCTTTGATGGCCAAATTTATCTCGTCTGGGGTGAAAACCCTTGTCAAATCTTTATTCTGGTTTTCTGTCACTTTGCACGGAATAGCTTCTAAAATTTTGGATATGTCTTCCAAATGTGGCCTAGCTGAAGCAAACAGGTCTTTAAAGTGCTCCAAAGCAATAGTCTCCATCTTCTCATCTACACTGGTCCATCTCCCATCGCAGTCAACTAGCCCAGTAATTCTGTTATTTCTCCTTCTTTGACTCGCTCGGATGTGAAACCACTTAGTGTTTCTATCCCCCCACTTGAGTCAATCCTCCCGAGCTCGTGTCTCCAATATATTTCATCATCTGTCAAAAGATTTTCAAGTTCTTTTTCAGCTCGCAACATGTCTTCTCTCCAGTTGTTCCTACGACTTTCCTGAATTATTTGGATCACCTTCTCTTTTTTTGTTATAGCACCTCGGATTGAACCTCCCACCCTTTCTAGATTCCAAGCCTTTAGCTTCCTTATACATTGGGCAAGTTTCTGTTGGAATATGATAGGATTCTGACCTCTTTTTTCATCCCAAATATTTTTTATCAAATCCTTGCATTCTGAGTATTTGGTCCAGCCCTCTTCAAACCTGATGGATCTTGGTTGCCTTCTATTGCTTTGATTTTCCTCCACCACTCCCAAACTGCTAGAATGGGTCTATGATCTGATGCTAAGAATTCGAGATGATGGACCTCAAAAAAATCACAAATATGATCCATTCCTATATTCACCAAAAAGCGATCTAATCTTTCCCAAATATAACCCCCCTGATAATGCTAGTACAGGTGAATTGATCACCATTAAAACCAGCATCCATGAGGCTGCAAAGATCAAGCATTTCCTTGAAATTATTCATCTCAGAATGTCTCCTATCAGCTCCCCCTTCCTTTTCACTCTCGGAAGTAATTTTGAAGTCCCCACCGAAAATCCAAGGGAGGTTTGAGATACTGTGAAGTCTCTTAATGAGAGTCCATGACTCTGAACGTCTTTCAGTAACCGGATGACCATAGACACCTGTAAATCTCCAATTCCGATCATGTTCTTTGATAATAGCATCGATGTGACCTACAGAATACGACATGATGTGCACATCTATTTCAGCCTTCCAAAGAAGCATGAGACCGCCGCTGTTTCCATTGCTTGGGACATTAAAACAATTATCATAATGGATCGTTCTTTTCACTATATCATTCAGCTTGTTTCGCACTTGGTTTCCATGAGGAAAACCAATTGGGGATTGCTATTGAGCACCACATGTTGTAGTGCCCGTAATGTTCGAGGATTTCCAATCTTCGAACATTCCAACTTAAGGTTTTCATTGGCTTTTGCGGGGCTGTTCAGCAGCCTCCACCGATAGAATAAAGCTGTTTTCTTTCGCTTCAGTAGTGCAGATTTTCTTTCCATCAGGCCCAATTCTGTCCATTGTGAGTTGATGCTTACTCCCAGGTAAAGGGAATTGAAACTCTGGAATATCCATACTGTTTCCTGCTGCTTTATTTTCGCCTCTTACTACTCTCTCCCATTTCCCGTGACTGATAACCTCCATCAATTTTCCTTTTGTTGCTAATATGCATTTTGGTTGGGTTGCCTCGGCTTCACAGCCCACTTGAGTGTTGGAAAGCCTTTCTTGATGAAATAAATCATTTTGGGCTTCTCTTTTTTGGCCCATAACATTTTTACCTTTATCAATTAGAATTTGCTGAACTGGTGGATGATAGCTATTGGATCCATTTATTTGATTTTCTTTACAATTTGAACCCTCAAAATCAGCAATTGTGAAATCTTCATTTAATTGTTGTATTTCCTTTTCAGTGCCACGATCTTCTCCTTTCGATCCTTCATTTCCTAATTTGGATTGCCGTCCACCAGAATTCAGCACCGCCGTATCGCTGACTGAGGGGTTCAGTAAATCGTGATCTTTCTCCAGCATTTGATTTTTTTGGTTCCCTCTATCCGCACAATCATCATCATCGTCTTCCTCATCAGAATACCACTGAGAATTGAATCTTCCTTTTCCTCTTCCCCTTGCCGGAGTTCCTCTCCCTCTTTGTGTTATTTCGTTTAAGGTGGGTCGGTTCTCTCAACCATGGCCCATATTGAGGCTCCTCTTCGTCTACAATTGAATCATCAGCACAGTTCTTTACCACATGATCCAATTTTCCACATCTGTAGCAAAAGTCCGGGAGCTTTTTGTAGGTAATCAGTATCCACTTTTCATCCGACATAGAACCAACTTTAATCAGAATACCTCGGCGCAGAGGTTTGCTCACGTCAATCAAGATTCTAACTCTCAATATCTGTCCCCAACATTTGCCTTCTTCATCTGTTTCAATTTTCTCAAATCGCCCAACTAGATTGCCAAGCGCTACTGCCGATTTCCTGGAATAACAAGCAAAAGGCAATTCATGAAAATGGATCCAGAATGGCGCGTACCTGAATTCGAGTTCATTAAAATTGCTGTCTGCACGAGGTTCCTCTATAATCATCAAAGCTTTGTCAAAAAACCAAGCTCCGTTGTTTATAACTTTTGTTTTGTCCCTTTGGTATTTGAAATAACACAGAAAAATATTCTTGCCTACATTCTCAATCTTCACCACTATGTTGTTCCATATTCGGGGCATCATCATTTTGAACATCTCCTCTTTTATATTTTTGGCTGTCATCAGTTTACAAACAATAGCATTTTCAGCTTGTTTCTCTGAAGATTCAATTTCCTCTTCTTCCAAATCAAAAATCTTCCTTTTATCCTCTGTTGTCAGTTTCATCCTCTCTACCTGAAGACTGAGTAGATCCTCATCCATACTGCTTGGAGAAGCCGGTAAAAATGGCAGAAAAAGCTGTCCCTCCTTCAACACCACGGTTGCCAAACCCTACGTAGACTCAGAGAGAGAAAACGAGGTCCCATCAAAATCTTCTCTCATGTATGTTTACTTCAAGGAGATCCAAATGGGTTGATTAATCTATGTTCAACTACTGTGATTATTGAGCCATACATGTTGGGCTTTTTTAGTGATATACTCGTATATAATTTTGTTGAAATATATACGCATATAGAACCAATTAGCTAATTTGAAGCTTGATTTTAGTGAATCGATTCTACATACGACACTCAACCCTTATGATTTATAGTCGGATATAGTTTATAATTCTATATATGTGTATGTTAAAATGATTGCCATTTTGGGATATAGTCGTATATAATTTCATATTTAACATATAGGTCTATATGAGAATTGTTGTGGTAATTTCAATTGATTATATCTTCTGTTAATCTGTGTTAAGATTGTTGCTTGGCTTAGATTGTGGTACTGAACATCTGAGATTGAGTTATTTGATTATCGTGTTATTTGATTTCGTTGGTTGTTTAGTCTATTGGGATATAATAGTATATAGTTTATAATTATCTTTTCCTTTTCRATGATGCAGGAAAGGTATTGAAATTGAGCAAAAAACAATTGGAATGAAATGAAGTAAAATCCGGCGACCGATTTAGTAGAATACTTTAAGGAGTAAATTAGGAGATTGATTGTGAGAATAATTGATTTGGCCCACAATAATTTAATTATTGGAATATCAAATTTGAAAAATTAAATTTTTTACATTTAAATAAAAAAATAATTTATAATAAATATAAATGCAGAATGAGGGCAAAATTGATATTTAGGAAAAATTTTAAATCTAGAAATCTAAAACGTGTAAACATTGGACATTTGTAGGGGTGTAACGAACCAAACCGACCCGAATAACCGATCCGAACCGAACAACTTTCTGGTCGGTTTCATGATTTTTTTGGTTCGGGTCGGTTTTGACCCGAATAATATTTATGAGAAATGTGAAGTCCTACCCGTTTTCTTTACCTTCTCCCTCTTGTTCTCTCTTGACAAGTAGCCACTGCCCACGAAACGAAACCCCAACAAGCGGCAGTGACTCCAATGGCAACACGCAACGATGACTACAACGGCAGCACGCGACGATACTCTGCGACATAAACCCTCTCTGTCTCTCTCTGACGTGAATGGAGCCCAACGGTGACGACTCCAACAACGGAATCCTCTCTCTCTATACCTCATGGGCTACGGAATCCCTCACCGGTGGAAGAAGAAGGAAGAAAGTCGAAGAAATTTGTTTTAATTTCTCCCTAGCTCAAACCCACTTATCCCAATGAATGATTAAAAGAAAAAAAAAACTTTTAATTTATCTCTGGAATAGAGGTATCCCAAATGGATAATAAACTTGTTTTAATTTCTCTCTCAGATCAAGGTATCCCAAATGAATGATTAAAGAAAATAAAAAGATCTCACACAAATCAAGAGAAGTCCCGAGAGAAAAGACAAAAAAAAAAAAAGCAATGAAAAGATATAAAAATAAAAACCGAAAAATGACCCGAGATGACATGAACCCGAACCGAATTGATTGGAGTTCGGGTCGGTTCAGTTTTCTCCTAAAACCAACCCGACCCGAAATATTTATACCAATAGACATTTGTGAAAATAAGTTTCCAAAATAAATCGGTTCAAGATATTATCTCTTACCAAAATGGCCTCAATTTCTTTTTTTAAGGTAAATTACACCGATAACCCATGAAGTCCAATAATTTTAAAATTATACTTCCAAATTTTTAATAGTAAATAGTAAATGTTAAACTCTCAGATTTAAATTTCCTTATATATATTACCCTCAAATTGAAATATTAGTGATAGATCCGCTGCTGGAAATTCATCCATGAATCTTAAATCTGTTGCATTAAAAAATTTTGCCTCAAATCTACTCATCTTATTTATTGTACTTAAAAAAATTACAATAAAACTCAAACAAAACAACGAAAAAGATCTAAAAAGATCCTTGATGTAATTAAATGTGTTAAATTTCATACAACAAAATACATGGAAACCAAAATATATATATATATATATATATATATATATATATATATATCCATAAAAGGGTTCAACCATGGATTAGTTATTTTGATTCTTGAATACCTCAACTTTTTCAATGGACATGAAAAACGAAAGCTTAAATAGAAAGAACAATAATGAAAGAATAGTATTTTATAGTTATTGCTAATTGACCTTTTGAATACCAAAAATATAAAAGAAAGAACAAAGGCAAAAACTTTAATATAGAATAGTGATATGTTAGTGTCGGGTCTAGCGTGAGAGATGATAGCCACAAGAAATGAGATCTTATTTTTAGAATCATCCAATTTCTCTTTTTCTTTTTCTTTTTTTCTTTCATTTTTTTAATTGCCAACTACATAGTTTGCCCTCTCGAGCATATTGATTAGCACTACTAAAGTTAATAGTTTCTTTAACTATCTTAAGTTGTCTAATGGTATTCTTATGGGTGTTTCCTATGATTCGACCAAGATTATTTTTATGGATATTGGATGTAGAAGAAATTAGTGCAAAATGAAAAACATAAGCAATTGAAGAAGAAAAAAAAAATATAAATATGACACTTTTGAGAGGACTCTCTCTCACTCTCTAAGCCTCCATCCATGGCTTCTCACTTACTTTTCACACATTTTTAATACATGGGGTCACACCTTCTATTTTAGGTCAGGGATCTCAAACAAAGAGACTTTTCGAAGCCATTAATCACTATCCTAGACATGCCTTAAATGGAATTCTTAAAACTCCTTCTGGTTCGAGAAATATTTGTTAAGTGATAAATTTTGGTCAATTACCAAGTGCTGCATCATTATTTTAAATACATGACAAAATTATATTTGAGACTAATCATAAATTTACACTTGTCCGGTAAACTCATCAGAATAAAGCCCGTTTAAGACGACTCACAAGACTTTATAAATACAGGAGGTCACATCTTATTTAAAGGGGAGCATCCAGAACCATCGACAATCATCTAGAGCCAAGCAAACTCATCAGAGTCATATCAAAAAATTTTAGAATTATCAAAGAGCCACAATTCTTCTGAAGATTCATAAAGCACAAGAAGACTTTGTGACGATGCGAATACTTCAGGAATTGGATCATCTCTTCACAAGCCAAAGACTTAGATGAGCTATAAGTTGAGGACTTCATTAGGCTACAAGTGGAAAACATCGACAAGCTATAAGCCGAAAACTTCAACAAGTTATAAGTCAAATACTTTGATTAAGCTACAAGTGAAGAATTTCAACAAGCTATAAGCGGAAAACTTCATCAAGCTACAAATCGAACTACTTGAACAAGCTGTAAATCGAAAACTTCATCAAGCTGCAAGCTGAAGAACTTCATCAAACTACAAGTTGAAGAATTTTGTCAAGCTACAAGCTGAAGAATTCATCAAGCTACAAGTCAAAGACCTCAAATATCTCCATGAAGCTTAAAATTGAAGACCTCAAAGATCTTTTAACAAGCTAGAAGTTAAAAGACACCCATCTTCTTGATACGAGAAGAAGTTCATTAGCTCTCAAATCAAGTTGCATCAGAAATTAAATAATAGAGATTGTAATACTAGCTTATACATAAATATAAATCAAATTTATCAAATTCGAGTTTCTCTTCTGAGAAATCTCTCACAAACCATACTATTTTAGGTCTAAGATAATTTCTAGAGCTCGGTTGAACATCTTTATTTACAATCTTCAGAATTAATCTAGAAAAAACTAATTAGTCAGTGTTATATTTTATTTTAGCACTCTCCCACAACAGAACTAGTCTAGCTCTTTTTAATCATCACAAGTTGTTGGCACAAGGCATGCGTGGATGCACTTAGCCCTTTCATGAATAAATCTACAATTTGATTTTCACTTCTTATGGATTGCATCTCAATTTCTTCCTGAATTACTTATTCTCTAATGAAGTGATAATGAACCTTAATATGCTTGGTTCTTGTAGGTAATACTAGATTCTAAAAAGATATATTGTTATCACAATTCACAATACTTATCGATTATGTTTGTACTCACTTTAATGAGATTTCTATTTTTTTTACAGATATTTATGTAGATGATGACGACAACATTGAAGATGACTTTAGCATTGATGATGAGGAGCCATAAGTATGTTCAAATTGATTTTTAGTTTATAGTTTTATTTCTAACTAGACCATATTTTTACCTTGCTTTATTTAAAAACAGATTTTATAATTTTTGCTAGTAGAGATTTCATATTTTATGTGTGATTAAGTTATGTTTTTTTTAATGAAAGAACAAGTTTTTTTTTGTAAGGAAGATATATTTTTGACCTATCAAAATTATCAACTTTGCACCAATCTTCTAGAATAAAAGGAATGGATGAAACTTGCAAAATAAAAGGATAACACATCGATGTGGTGCTAGCCACACACACTCTGAAGCTTAAGTTAGAGTTGAAGTTTAATGTGAGGCGTAGCTAAGAGTAGAGTTCTATCGCGTCCCTCAATTATGAGTATTTCTTTCTATTTATAGCGGAAAAAATCTATAGTCAATAAGATATCTTCTTCTAAATATAGGGAAAATCCTAGGGCCATCGGCATATGTTCTCCTTTTGAATTCCTCAAATAAAGGGAATTCAAATTATAGAATATAGGGATTTTTCCTATCTATTAGCCCCCACTCTCAAAGTTGATAATGAGTTAGATGAAATGTCAAACTTCTACTTCGAGAGTATTTGACATAAATCCACTATTGGTCATTTATTGTTGGCTTTCTAGCTCGTTGATGTTGATCAACCTTTTGACTTGTTGATCTTGATCGACCTTATAACTCATTAATCCAAATCAGCCTTATAGCTTGATGTCTCACTTCACCTTGATCGGTCTTACTTCTAACTATGGCCCCCACTCTTTTGATGAGATCGTTCTAGGTCTAAGGTCATCATGGGACAAAAACCTCTATCTTGAAAGTAGTTAAATTTTCATGCTAGGTCTAGTCTGGAATCAATGTGATGTTCCATTTATTGTGATTTTTTGTAGCTTATTCACCTCGGAAGTTAATGTCCCGTTTAATCCAACGTTTGGGTAGAGTTTATAAGGGTGAACTTCTCTGATATCATAGATCCATTATGTGAAAGTAGTGTTCACAAAGAAATCGATATGTTTTGGATTTCAAGATGCGTGAGGTCAATTATGCCTTTGGGAAGAGGTGATAATATTTAGGACTACCAACTATCCTTCTAAGGTATGACAGGGGGAGTAAGTTAGTTTTTGCTTTGCTTCTTTGGGAAATACGAGTAGATTTATTAATTTGTTTATCATAAGGATGAGTAGGAACTCTATGTTATGTTGTTTTCAATGTCTATGTCGAATTTGTTTACTTGCCTCCTATCGCCTTTAGAATTATTATCTTCAAACTATCTGTTTTTCTCTTTGAACGATGACTAGATGAGTAAGTCAACTTTTTTACCTATTCATCTGTGGAAGAGAGAACAATTGAATATTTCTTCTGAGTGATGATAGATATGAATGGTTGTTCTTATTAGTTCTTCTAGGTAGCCGCCTTGTCTATATGTTGCTTGACTTGTAGAATTTTCACAAGATCAAGTTCTTTATTTGATCGACTTGATATGTAGGACTCTAAGTGATTGTTTGTGTTGCTTCCAAGGAACTTGA